TTTTCATGAGCATTCAATTGCGGTAATGTATTATGTATGGTAATATACATAATAGGGAAAGCTATTCAAGATCAAGAAAAAATGCTCATCATTCGATTTTGTTGTGGCAATCTTCAAAGGTAGTTCAGTGATTTTTCAGGGAGCCGAGATCACACTGATTTTGAGTATGCTAGCAGATTTGAATGAAAACTGATCTGAGTGAGGAAATGATCACTGGAAGCAGATAACTCTGAACACATTAGGAAACGATCTTCAAATTGATCTTTTAATTTGAGAAACTTCTACTCAAAACATGAGTCCGTCGTTTCATGGTGAAACCTAAGCAGTTATTATGGAACTGAATCATGCAGATCTCACGTCTCATCGCCTTTCTACCAAACATGGTTTTTGAAAGAATTCAAGGCGTTAAGGGAATATTTTCGACCCCCCCCCCCTAGCAGCGAAGATCAACAAGTCACTCCGGTCATTTGTTATGACGTGTATGTGTTTGTCTTTGTATTTGCCTTGAAACGGTGAGTTCAGAGTTATTAACGTCGTATCTGATCAAAAGTGGTTTGACGGAAGTTATGAAAATTTCTGCGCAAGCTGTACTCACCGAAAGCGTTTACTGGTAATCTTCAAGCAGGCAGCAGGAGTTGATGCAGTCATGGCATCGAAATCCCTCTAGCTGTGTTGCCGAAAATACAGGCTTCACAAGAATTCGATCCAGTAACCTAATGTAATGATCCGTATTCTACTGCTGCGTATTTCCTCTTCACAACTCTGGTTAGAATCGTTTAGCAGGTAAGGGAAGCAGTTCTGAGCTTTGTGCTGCAGAACGGCTGCAGCTGTGCACACCTCTTCCAAAATGGCCAGACCAACCTGTTGCTAATCCTAGTAAGGTGAAACAAAATTGCTTTGATCTCAATGCTCACTACAGGAAAGAATGCAACTTCCATTACATGCGTATTCGCAGCACAGGGAAAGTTGTAAGGGAGTCGCACTTAGACTCCAAAAATTGCTCAGAGCCTGATGGACAAGGCGCGTGGAAAAAACGTTATCTATGTGACGCGTCGATCCGTTGAGCTACTAAGCTCCGAGAAGTAGCGTAGATCATCTTCAGCAGCTGCGTATGGTCGTACTTAATACAAGTGTTTACGAAAGCCTAAGGCCGTAGTCCGATGTCGTTCCTCTGAACACTTGAGAGTGAGTTGGTATATAGCTGATGATCAAAGCAATTACGGAAGACCGATTAAGTGTAATGATGCCCTAATTGTTTGCGAACTGGTGCAAGGGTCTTCCAGACGGACGTACGTCGCGGACGCTGAACGCTTTCCCTCAACTGGCGGATTGCCGGCAAAAACTCGTGAACTGAATGGATTCTACCCATGGTCAACCGTCCGTCAGGCAACGGGGGGGGGGAAGGTCGTATCAGAGTAATGAAAGACAGAGTCGACAACCCGGAGTCCATTCACAAAATTTGGAAGTCCAAAGGCACGGAAATTGGCAAAGTAGCACAAACTTTCTAATGCCACAGCGACTTCGAACAACAGACGTGATCCCAGAGCAGAATTCCTACCGAAACACTTCGAGTCACAGTGAGCAAGAGCAAACGGATTTGTTTCAAGGGATCGTGGCGCTTTCAGATGAAATAAAATCAAGTCGAAGTGTAGGAGTGTTACGTTTTCGTCGGGATGACATCTATATCCCGATAGAAAATCCTGGTAGATCAAAAGCTCTTATTTCGGGGCTTCTCAGGAAAGTTCAGCGCACCTTATGAAACTGATCACGTAGATTGCTGGGATTTCACCGCTTCCTCACCCATCATACCGATTTTGAAGAATCGTGTCGGAGCTTGAATGTTAAAAACTCGTGTTTTGGGATGATATCCTCAAAATCACAAAGCGAAAAACGGACAATTTGTTCAGGGAGTGGTTTCTTGAAAAAAAAAACCACAATGCTCTTTCATAATCTATGATGTTGTAGTTTCTACTTAGCCATGGAGATCCAAAAGAAACTGATTATGAAGAGTTATGAACGTTCAAATGTTAAAAACTCGAGCCTGTTAAAACGCTCGGACCGCATATCAAAACGGAAAACGGAATAGCGAGACTTTCTTTTAAAGGGAAGCATTATGGAGGTTTCACAATTTTAACCCTCACTGAAACAATGCGAATTTCCAAAATTATCACGTAATCGTCGTGCATGGAAATGAAATTCGCATTGGAGAAATTTATAACTTAGGTCCGTAATAGTTTCAAGTTTCAGTTTCCCATTCGTAAAAAAGGATGGGTACAAAGGGTATGGAAGTTTGAAAACCTCGGTAGTTATCTGAAAGTAGAGCTCTCTGCAATTACAACCTTATCTAAGTTTACGCAACGTACTATAAGCTTGTACATGGGTTCTACCTTGTAGTGGTGTACGAGCTTGAGGCGGAATCGGAATACCTTTCAGGGTAGGGCTGCGCCGAAACCTGCCGTTTTTTGTGACTAAAGAACCCAAAGTGCCCAACCCCTTGGTGGAACGGCGCTCTCCTTGAGCAACGAGAACACCCTATCCCGTGGGACGAAAGATACCACGACCACTTCTTACTCTCACCTTAGTCCCTTGCAGGCTGCTTCTGCCCAGTCAGGTAGCGCTGGATCAGCAAACAGCCGAAGACGAAGAAATCTCAGGGCCATAGGCTACCAAAGGAGACGGACAATAGTGAGCCGGCTGATCGCCTGCACCTACAACTGTCAAAGTGTCAGCTCAGCTGCTCAGCTTTCGACACTCATTGATGAAGCTCAACTGATCAAGTACCATGTAATTGGCTTGAGTGAGACAAAGCGGAAGGAGTCTTTATCGTGTACCTGTACGGGCGGAGCATCGGTCTTCTTAGGAGCTCGCAAGATGGATTCAAGATCAGGACGTATTGGCTTCATTGTGTCACCGAACTTCTCCAAGCATGTACGGAGCGTAACGTTTCATGGGCACCGAATCGCTCATTAACTTATGCCTTTCGAAAGATTTGCAAGTTACCATCATACAGGCTCACGCTCCAGACAGCGATGAAGAGCAGCATGACATCTTCTATGAACAATTCGGGGAGCTCGCGAGCAGCCAACGTGGCTACGTCGTTGTGATGGTAGACTTGAACGCTCGAATTGGATCTCAAGGTTGGCAAGGTCTTCTATGGACCGCATTCCGCTGAAGAGAGCAATAAACCTGGAAAAAGATTGGCGAGTTTTTGTGATTCGCATCACCTCTATCACGGCAATAGCCAATTCTTCAAAGCACTATGCAAAAGGTGGACTCATGTTTGTTAGGATGGATAGCACTGCCACAATATTGACCACGTTTTGTGCAATTGAAGAGTTGTGACGGATGTTACAGTTGTCCCTTCTTCAACACGAGGATTCTGAGATTCTCCATTTTGCTGAGAGGGCGATTCCACCTGTACTGCGCTCTGATGCGCCTGATGCGCATAGGCGGCCCTTCCCCACTGAGATAGACGAAGATACCGTCGCGAGGCTTGCAAAAGAAGAACTGTATGGAATGGTGGATGACACTAACACTGACTACCAGAACCTCTTCAAACAGTCACGGCAATTGCAAACAGCTGCCGCAAGGTCGCCCCTAACCATAGTTCGCGTCGAATATTTGTGTTTACTCGTAATCTACTCGAAAAGCGATGGAATATTAATAGACAAGGAAACCGCGTGGATTACCCCTTGCCTAATAGATTATGAAGGCAATAGATTACTGAAGATCACTCCAATTTTGCAAGATCGAAACTTTAGTTGAGGCAGAGAATAAGGGAAGTTTGAAAAGGGCAAAAGGGAAGAGTGCCGAGCATGGTCTCAAGATTGCTAGCTTGAAACTGCACATGGAACTCGTTGCTGCTCCTAAACTATGAAAGGAATCTTGTCAAAGTTATACTCTTCCCTCTTCAGATCGGAACTTCCAGTCGTCAGGGAAAGAAAACCAGTTCTGAAAGAAGTGCTGCCTTTTCTAGCAACGGAGGTGCGCCATGCTACAGGAACAAGCCTCGAGCGCCGGGAAAAGACGGCATCGTCATAGAACTTGCAGGCCCCCTTTGTACCGAACACTTGCAAGGAGGTTCACTTGCTACCTGACCAAATGTGCAGTTCCAACGGCGTGGAAGCAATCCTCTCCGGTGCTGCTCTTCAAGAAAGGCAACAAAGAAGATCTAGCTTGTCGTCCCATCACGCTTCTGCCAGTACTTTATGCTGTATACTGGCACGTATCCGCAGACCACTAGAAGAGGCCAAGCCGATAGAACAAGCAGGTCTTCGTCGGAATTTCAGCAGCCTGGAACACATCGTAAATTGCCGACTCCTCATTTAAACAGCCCGTGAGCACCGCCTCCCTGTCGTGATGACCTTCACTGATTACAAGAGGGCATTCAATTCGGCTGAATCAGTGAAGGTCTGAGAGGCGCTGGAAGAGCAAGGTGTCGCGACTGTTCGCGATCTCAAATTCGTAGGTCTAGGGCCACAGGGTGGTCTGGCGGGAACGATTTTTCTGGACATTGGTTTTTGAGCTCAGTGGAGGGTATAAAAGGACCACCCTGAAATCGATAAACTCAGTTCTTCGTCCTATTGCGCCCGATCCGCTGTATTCGTTCTTCATTTATTTCTGTTGTTACTGCATAAAAAGTTCACTGAACCACTGTGTCGGACACGAGTTATAAACAACGTATATCTGGGCACGATATATACTGGACATATATCTATCCATATCTAATTCATGGTGCATCCATCAAAAGGAGCAGGAAACCATCATAAGGTACCGGAATTTATATTTCTACGCTTAGAATTTTGAGTACTTTTATTGAAAGTCTACGCAAAATCACGCAAAAACCACGCTTATTTTTCACTTCGATGGTTTGATTGGAATTTTTTTCATTCGATAATTTGATTGTATTTTTCTCTTCAAGTTTGAATCTTTTTCTTTATTCCTTTCCCACATCTCGGTAAACAATAAATCAACCAAAAAATCAATCACGATAAACAACCATGTCGGGTCCATCGGGTCCATTAGCGCTGAAAACAAGGAAGTCCCTCCTCACGCGATACTGCAACAACCTGGTAGGACTCATTAACAAATATGAAAACAACGCGACAGTCACCCTTTACGCGATGCCCCGCCACATGGAAAGGAACTCACGGAATATGTGGTAGAACTGAAGGGGACTGTTCGACTGGTACTAGATCAAATTGATTTCTTGGTTGAGGCAGTGGATAGCCTAGGTGAAACCCTTACTACGGATCAGCAAGCACAGGCAGAGGACTATATAGAGAAGGCTCACAACGCGGTCGAAAACGCTGAAAAGCTTGCACTGCAACTTGAGGCCAAACGCATGGGAGCGCTAGATACTGCACCAGCATACGAACAAAGCGGGCCTTCAACACAGGCAAGGGGTCCCCATCAACTAGACGCACTCGCACCCAAGCTACCACCTGTCCCAATGCCAGTGTTTGATGGGAAAATATGGGAGTTCTCCAATTTCTGGACACTGTTTGAGACCAATGTGGACGGTCAGCATTCACTTAGCGACAAACGTTCAAAACAGAGACACGCAACGATGATAGTCAGCCCAGGCTTTGCTTTTCAATCCTATCCTAACCCGATGGGTAGCCGCTTATTGAAACTCTCGCACCATCACCAGGGAGCTATGGTCTGGCTGCCTGCAACTATTTTCTGCAACGCAAAGTTCCTAGAAATCGAAAACCCGGCTCATGACCACAAGCCTCAATTTGCCTTTCAAAAAGACGTTGAGAAAAAGCAATTCGCTCTCGATTCCAACTTTTGATATTTACACTCGACCAATGACCAAAAAATCCACTGAAAATTTCAGACTATGGGAAAACGATTAATCATTGAACAAAAATTATATATTTATAATAATATATTTTCATTCACGCTAACGTTACTCCTTTAGACCATGGATGGGTACGAAGAAATGAGACGCTTACGCCGAATCAAGGAGCTATTCCACCGCTTCCCGAGCCATACACGCTGTACAATAAGATCGTACACAGAAGCATGGAACTTCGTATAGCTACACGCTTCATGAGTGATCTATTTAATCGTATTCAGGAATTGAGAAATTCTGGAGAAGGTCTTAAAGAACGCTGGCTGCAGACAAAGCTGCTTGAAACCATCAGAGAAAAAACGTATGCCGAGTTCGCGCTACTACGCTTAGAGTTCCGCACGCTTTTTGCCGCTGTACCATTGGTGATCGCCATGAAAATGATATCTGAGGATGACTGGAACGCCCTCATCAACAAACCGCAACGCGATGACAGAGGGAATGCGCTCGTACTGGATCAAGACCAGCTAGAGCGAGTCATGGCGGACCAGTTCGACATACTTGAAGAGTACCGACTGATGCTGGCAGAACTGAGACAGCAGACCAGGGACGAAGAAAGTCACCAGGCAGAAAACTTTCAAAAAAGCGTGCTATCAGCTCTGAAGGATGTCAGAGAATCAGTAGAAACCGGATTCCGAACCTTCACTTCGAGCAATGACCGGACTCATCTCGAGGAGCTTAGAAACATAGTCCAAAAGGAGACAGGCAAGCTTCAAGAAGTCATCTGCTCGTTCGTCGACTTTGTGCGCAATACAATCACCGACGCCATATCAAAACTAGAAACCACCAGCTACAGATGAACATCCTGGAGAGAATTCCGAAGATGCTAGCGGTGGTGAGGGGGAGGGCACTGAGGTGCTCGAACAGGAGGCGGACTTTCCGGATCAAATGGAAGCTGAAATAATCCACCAGAATGTGGAATTTATGGAAAAGGTGGAAACGGACGACGAAGAAGAGCACGAAGCCTTGATGTGGCAGCGCAGACGCCAAATAGACAGAGATATTTTCGACGCATACGCAGAGATCCAGGAGCTTGACGAGCTCATAGCAGAACTTGACAAGGAACCCAAATGTGAGCCTAGAAACTTCGAGCGAGGGATCATAAGGCGTTGGGAAGAGATGACGATTCGCTGTGTTTTTTGCGAAAGGATTGGAAAACATTACAGTGATTCCTGCGATATTTACAAAGAAAGTTCGGTGCGCAAAGCGATACTTGAAAGAGACCATAGATGCGCCTGCTGTCTTGAAATCAAGTTTACCCAGCACGACTGTCGGAAGATCAACGTGGGATGTTTCCACTGTAGGAGGCATGGGCATCACAGCGCTGTCTGCGATCTACCAGAGAGGACCGCAGAAATCAACAGAAGCATAACTGAAGCCCTGTCTACGAAGAGAGAAGCCGAGAGAAGGATCGAGGAGCTGAAGGAACGATTGGAACAGCTTTACAGGCCAGCCCATCCAGCGTGAAATGCTGATTCATTTGTTGCCAATAGGTGTTGTGGTATCTAACATTTGTTATGAACTGGATTCCCTATGCGGTCGGGAATATCGCGACTGTTCGCGATCTCAAATTCGTAGATCTAGGGCCACAGGGTGGTCTGGCGGGAACGATTTTTCTGGACATTGGTTTTTGAGCTCAGTGGAGGGTATAAAAGGACCACCCTGAAATCGACAAATTTAGTTCTTCGTCCTAATGCGCCCGATCCGCTGTATTCGTTCTTCATTTATTTCTGTTGTTACTGCATAAAAAGTTCACTGAACCACTGTGTCGGACACGAGTTATAAACAACGTATATCTGGACACGATATATACTGGACATATATCTATCCATATCTAATTCACAAGGCGTGGAAAGGATCTAGGTGGATGTACTGCGAGAATGTTACTCTAAGTGTACAACAGCATTTCATCCTTTCTACAATGATTTTGTGGTAGCAGCTCAGAAAGGCATACGGCAAGGTGATCCGATATCGCCAATACTTTTTTCGCTTGCCCAGAGCCGTCATATGTCGCTGCGACTGGAGCAACTTTGGAGTCAACGTCAACGGTGTACGCCTCAATCTTTTGCGACTCGCCGACGACTTCGAATTGATAGCGGACTCTCCAGAAAACGCTTTCAAGATGCTGCATCGTCTGGACGAGGAAGGGAGCCACTATAGTCTCACTATCAATCCCTCTAAGCCAAAGTGATGCGAAACCCACTCTCAGGCAGCACTTTCGTACTTTTGAAAGGAAGTCTCATCGAAGACGTTGACGAGTATGTGTACCTCGGGAGCCACCTTAACATAAAGAATGACCTGGCTGGAGAGCTAGCGAGACGTCGCAAAGCTGGATGGGCTGCGTTTTCCTCTATAAGAGCTTTGTAGGAGGTACCAAGGACCGCAAACTCCGAGCGGACCCTTTCAACTCAACGGTGTTGCCTGCCCTCAGCTATGCAGGAGAAACCTGGGCACTAACGAAATCACAAGGAAGGCAATAACCATCTACTCAGGCATTGATTGAACGCCGTCTCCTTGGCTTGACATTGAGTTGCCAACGAGAGCTGAACCTTCATATCTCCGACGTCAGAGCCATTTCACAAGTCGAAGATATTCTTCTTCACGTCGATGAAGCGAAGCACAGATTCGCCGGACACCGGATGAGAAGGGATGACGGACAATGCAGTTCGGCTACTGTACGATGGCCCCCGCGCGAGGAGAACACGGCCGCAAGGCCGTCCTCCTTTACGATGGGCAGACTCCCTAGCTCATCAAAACAACATCTACGATACAGCGTCCTTTAGGGTAACCACACACTGGACAACCATAGCCCAAGATCGAGAACAATGGAAAAGAAGTTGGGACCCGCGCAAGGCCAACCGCCGTGCTGAGGGACGAATCGTCTAAGTATTCTTAGTAAGTAAGTAATTCAAGCTGTCTCTATTCAGTGAATAAAATTCCATCTTGCCTCGATCCCCGTCTTCTCACCGAGACAAAGCGAGCTGCGTGTGTAAATGGGCGGGGTGACTTAGGAGCTATCAAAAAGAAAATTGCCACGTGAATAGAACCATTTTTTATCGTTCCATGCCGGTATCACCCACCAACCGAAATCTGAGTGAGTGATAGTTCGGCTTCCTCCAAATGTGATTCGCTTGTGTGAGGTGATTCACGCACCACTATAGATGGAAGCCGAAAACACTCCCCTTCACATGTCAAACGGAATTAATTATGCTAGACTCATACCGAATGATCACAACTGGTTATTGAGGAGTACATTCCAGTATCGAAAAACTAGGAGAGTTCGTAGCATGTAGCAGCTTCAAGCATCTCGCACTCGTCCCAACAAGCAATGATTTTGATATCATTGTCAGTTATGTAAATATTCGTCTCCAAGGGTTTCCGTGCTTCCTGCTCTCTTGGTTCTTAAAGGAGTCCATTACACTGCCCTTCATGGATTTCAGTTTTGGCATACGTAAGATTCGGAAAGACAGTCAGAGTCTACACCATGCCGCAACCACATAGAAGCTTTCACACCTGAGCGACACGGAGCTTCCTTATTTGTGGTACCGCTCACAGAATGTGAAAAATTGACGCTGATTGACAGTCCCACCTATCAAAGATCGTCACACTACCATAACTCCGCTGAAAGTGAATGAAACAAAAAAAAATTCAAACTTCAATGAACACGACTTCCCACGACGAGATACAGGGTGTGTTACAGGTCGGGATTGCTTAACACGTTGACGAAATTGTGCAGCGCATGCGCTCCACACCTTGAGCACCGTGTGGGACCGTGCGCAGCGCATGCGTGCACACACAAAATATTTTTTTGGCGCATGCGCTACTTCTCTAATTTTTGCGTCTATTCCATAGACTACACTATAATATGACGAGACACGGCAAGGTTCATCAAATAATTGAATATGCTCCCTTCTAGCGAAGGTTTGCTATGTCCTAGAAATTTCCCAATTGTGTTCATTCCTAGTTTCCTTTATATTCTGATAAGCTTGGTTATAGAGGAAGTAAGTACTGGTGTCTTGCCATATAATACATGTTTTTAGTGGAGCAACCGTGTCGAAAATAATTTTGAGGTTCACTAAAGCAAAAGCAACTGAAACTTGCCTTTCATCGCCAGAAAACGTCAATTCGATCGAACTTTTACAGTTGTGCCTTCTGATAAGTTTGACACATCGAATATCATTCTAAAAATTTTGTTGCATCCGAGTTTTGCGTATTTGAAGCCCAAAATTTACGGATTTTATGTGAGGCGGCGCCTGCAAAATCGCCGTGGTCCCACGCGGTGCAAAAACCCAAAACGCGCATTGTCGTCAACGTGTTAAGTAGGTCACCAGTTTTACCTTTTAAGCTGGGGCAATTCAAGCCTGATCTCAAGGGAGGACACCATTCGTTAGATCTCATGTTTGTGTGCATAGTAGTTTACCGTATGCACACAGTTCCTCTTTTCATACATTTTTATCCATGTTTCACAGTAGCTCCGGATGCGAACGAGCCCTTCAATTTTACGACATTTCTAAATTTTGCAAGCATATTTCATCAAATCTGAAGGAAATACGACGAAACGGATAGCAGATCCTGAACTAGGTATGCAACTGCGCAAGGATTTTGCTGTTAATTGGAATGAAGATTGGCGATTTTTCCAAAATGTAGCTCCAAATATCGATATACGCCAGATTCTGCAGGTAGAAACACTAGACTTTTCCTTTCGAAGTTGAACTTTAGCAAAGTTTGTGAGCAACGAATCGAATGGTGTTCTCAAGAGTATGTCATCTTGTTGCGTATAATGACATAATTGCTTATGATCAAGCGTCCACTTGAATAAAGCAAGAGACAATGCTACCACCTTTGAAAAGAAATTCACAGGCAGAGAGTGTATAAATAGTGCTGACATTCATACAGTTACACTCAGCACTATGAATGCATCTATATCACGAGTATGTAATTCCAAGACGAGAGTCTCTTTTAGTGTCTACATGAAGACATTAGAGCTTATCATATGATATTCACCTTGACTTCCAGTTTTTCGGTGTCAGTCAACCCGACCATTGCTGCCCTGTTGTTTGGGTTCGTGAATTTGCTTCCTACAACTTTCTTTATTCTGCAGCAATGACCGCAATGTCACTCGCGAAATCCAAATCTGTAGCTGGGCTATGCCAGCTTATGCCTGTTCGTCGTTTGTTCCACCACTTTCATAAAATCGAGCCCGGGTAGATATTGGTGGTATTTGTGGAAGAAAGCATTCCTACCGCACTCAAACAGCGCTGTACATCCGTTATTCACCGCAGCAAGATGATCAGAGGGCCCTTGAAGATGCGGGTACTCCCAGAAGGCCCGTCGCGCGACGAAGTCAATGACGCAGACGCGGCAGAGGACGAGCCGCACCGCATACTGTAGCGGTTAGGCGGCAAGTTCAGTTTAACGCATTAAAGTACGTCTCACAGCATTCACTTCACGGAGTGGGCTCAAGATTGCGATATCTGCCCAGTCACGCTGCTTACGCTTGTATTCTTTTTACTAGTACATAACTCCAGTTGCCCCCCCCCCCGCAACTTCCCTTTCAAGACAAGCTTTACATTGTAATATTCACGCCTGAAAAGGTCTGATCAGAATCTGGTTAGCTTATTGTTAGCTGAATAACAGTAAGAACGGTTCAAAGCGAGGAAAGGCAAGGGACAGCAAAAAGGAGCAGTCGGGGGGGGGGGCGGGTAACTGAGTCGGGATCTACTAGTAGAATGAAAACAAGCATAAGCTGCGTGACTGAGCAGGTAGCGCATTTTTGATTCCACGCCGTGGAATGTATTGTGCGGGATGTACTGTAATGCGTTATACTGAACTTCACGCCTAAGCACTACAGTGTGCGGTGCGACTCGTCCTCTGCCGCACCTGCGTCTCTGCTTCATCGCGCGACGGGCCTCCTGGGAGGTACATTTAAACATGCTGATGTGGCGTGAAGGTGAGCCATATATTCTGAAAAGCGCCCACAGTGAATCACGATGGATACTATCTGAAGCCGTTCCGATGTTGATGAAATTGATGACGAGTGCTGACAATATTCCATGCACTGTTCGATAACGTTACAAAGGGAAGTATTCACGCGAAGTGATCTCCACTGCGTGCTAGCCTTGCAGCCGTTTATCGATGGCGTTGTCGAGTTTTTGTCGCAATATCATCATTCAGAACGTTCTTCAAAGCACTGAAAGGATCGTGATGTTCCTCCGATTCTCACATTCTATCGAGCTCCTTTCTTCTTCGTCCTCTTCTTGATTCCACAACTATTTAACAGTTCCTCCGGGAGCGCCTCTGCTATCCGTCTGCCACCTTCTTTTTGCAGCTCTTCTTAATTTCCATCCAGTCCTGAGGCTTTCTTGTTGCGACGTCACTTGATTGCTTGATCTATTTCTTCAGCGTTTAATCTCCTGTGTTTCCATCAATCTTACCTGCTGCATCTATCTCGTCGAAACAATAATTCTTCTTTGGGTTGAATTTGTTGAGCGTGTCATGAGAACCCACCTGTGGCTCTGTTTCTGATTGCTTAGCAGGACAATCGTTTGTATCTCTGAAAGCTTTATTCGCTTCGATTTTCCTGTCATTTCATTTTAATGCGGCAAGCAGTTTCCGAGAAGACAGGA